TTTTTTTTTTTTTTTTTTTTTTTGAATTTAGAAGGAACGTAGTACGCGCCGGGGATAACGAATGCCATGGATTTTTCAGAATTTGTTTAATGAAATTCTCGGAAAGTAAATTTTGCTTCGTCTCTCCTTATTCGTTCTTCTTGATTAAAGATCGGTAAGCTCGAGGCTATTGTTTCGTTTTTACTTTGTTTGAGAATCCAATGTACATATCGACAGCCGCTCTCCGAGTAATCAGTTTTTACAGATGGCAAGAGGGCGAATTAATTAACTTTTACTCGACAGTAAGGGTACTAAAAGGAAACGAAAAATTGTATTAATATCTCTTCGTATATTTGACTTTAACAGCGTAGACGATCGACGTACTTGTAACTTCTTTCTTTGATTCAAAATGTAGACGAAAAACCACGTCGAGAGGTAACGATTTCACCAAGATTGCCGCGAATATTATCTTTTGAATTTTCCAGACCGTGGTATACGAAATAAAATTGCGATCGATGATAAGCTGCTACGATAATTTGCGATATTATACATACAATTAATTTTGTCGGTTGTTTCAGTCGGTGCCATGTACGTATGTATGCTGTACGCCATCCTGTTCCTGAAGCTATGGTCGTACGTACAAGTGAACATGTGGTGTCGTCTAGGCGGCCGAAGAAAGGCAAAGAGCCAGGGCAGAATGCGACGGAAATCTTTGTCGTGCGATAATCTACAGTGTAAGTAGACAATGCTCGCGTAATTTCGCTTTGACACCGTATTTTCCACTTCCTTCCTATTCCCGACGTTTTATATTCAAGAGACTTTTGTATCAATTTGCGGTTGCATAATAACTCGACGGCGCGACGTTTATTTCTATCAACGATATCAATTTATCGCGTCGAACGAAACGGCAAACGTTATTTCGGAATGCATGGTACGCGCATCCCGGCATTTTCGATAACAACTATTACGCATTCCCTTTACATTGTTTCGTGCTTTCGCGTAACACCCTCTAATTTTACGCGAATACCGCCCGAAAAACGTCGACCATCGGGCGTGTACAGCGTATGCGCGTGGATTTTTGGTCGGCCGCCTCTGTGACGGGGCTCACACGAAAATGCTTGTTACAAGTTTTTGGACGACTGGTTAAATCCCGTGTGCAACGGTTATACACGTTTCGCGACCAGCCAGACTTGGTTTCTATTCTAAGCGAAATTAATTAAAGGAACGCGACGAGTAAAAAAGCAGAACAGCGTGCAGGATTTGTTGCCTCTATTCTGATTTATTTCTGGATATCAGTTTTATATATGTTTCTCTTGAGATCGATATCCGACTGACTCTGTTTCTTCTTTCACGCTACGATGCATTCGTGAGTTCAAAGTACGCGATGAATTTATCCTGAAAGCTAGCCGATGTAAACTACAAATATTCGTGACGCGTAATAGACTCTGACATGCATACATTACAGCCTACACGCGCGTCTTTTGAGCGTCGCAATACAGTCCTCCACGTTGTTGGTATTTGTTCGCTCCTGAAGTTGCATACAGAATGTCCTGCTTGGTCACGACGCGTGTGCACATCCCAGCTTGGTACGCACACAGAGAGCCGTAGTGGAAGAGGCGAATAATTTCCACCCAATTTAAACTCTCGATCAGCCTCGCCTCTGTTTCCGGGTATTGGCCGGTTAGGTGGTGGTATATCGATTATTCAGCCCGGCAAAGTCAAATTATACGAGCGACCTTTCCCCAATAAACTCACCGCATGGAATATTAACCCTTCTCCAACCTCCTACGTCACGGTCTCCTTTCGTTTCGCCTTCCCTCTGTTTCTCCCTGTACGGGAGATTGGTAGTACTGCAAAGACCTCGTGTATCATTGTGACGCGTTATGACCCTCTTTCGTGCAGTGGAAATCTGTTACACAACTCTTCCGCTTCCATAGAGACGCTTTAAGGAGACTTCGAGGGCTGTAGAAGTCACTTAGAAAAAATCAATCTGAAAAAATTACTCCCTCTATGTTCCACGAAGCCGCGTTCACCTACACTCGCCCGTTTAATCGCGTCGTATTTCTTTTATGCTGGTATTATCGTTGTCGAGATTGTGCTCCTTTTATTCGTGATTCTGCAAATAACGATCTTTATTCGGTAAATAAGCGATTACTAAAACTTTTGGTAGTTGAGATTCGGAAAGAAGAGAAATCTTTTCTTTGCTCTCGTACAAAGGCAATGTTTACCGTTGCATTCTTACGTTTCTCGTTGGTATTATTTGCTCCACTTATTGTTAGTCAAATAATCAAGTAGAACATGGAAAAGAGAATCTCACAATGATGCCTGTATGCCTGGTTCTATGAGTACGATGTACCGTTACGCTTACATAAAGAGACATACCTCTGACGTTGCTGTTTGCAAATTCGATTCGAGTCCATTTGGTAGCCGGTTCTCTTCTCGTTTCCTGAGTTCCTGTTCGCGGCCTAGGCTCGTTAATCAACGCCAAGATAATGTGAGAGGAAGACATAATGGTGGATGCATGTGAATGGTGAGTCGCGGTACTGATACCTTTCCCGGAAACACGTGGTACAGATGTTGAGAAATGGTCGAACGTTAAGTATCGCGCGGTAGGATAATGTAGATGTTAAAACGTTTGACCATAGCCGACCGCCGTTTCCTTTCAGACATAGATGCGCAATTACCATGATTATTCATCGGCCCAAGAACGAAAATTTCAGACTAAGAAAAATTAGACGAATGTTAATTCTTCGCTAGATCGACTCCGCTGTTCGATCACACATAACGTTACCAAGCGAAGTATGAAAAGCGCCGCGGGCTGATATAATTATCGAAATTCGATGGGACGCCTGGGTTGCGGCGAGCAGAGCACGCATCACGGCCTCTACGATCGATTCTCTTGATCGAATCGAAGTGGCGCGATCGACGAATGCATCCTAGCTACGGCGGAGCCACGAGCGCGTGTATAATCCTGCCTCTGTACCTCGTGCCGTGTAATTTTCGTCCTCTGCACCCTTTCTGCTCTCTATCGGGCGAACGCCAAGGCAAGCCGTATTATTGCGTCGCATAATGACGGTGTTGACTTTTGCGAGCGTTACGTTGCCGCGCGTACGCGACTTTCGCGGAAGCTTTTTATCTGTGACATTTAAATGAGGATTTAGGACACAGATAAAAAAAATGCATATAACGTGCAATTTCCCTGATATTCGATATTAGCGATCCAATGTGAGTAAAAGTGTCTGTAGGGTTTCTCCTATTCTCTGGTTTAGATTAAATGTCTTGATTATTGATCTCTTTATACAACTACACACGTTGGCGTATTTTAATATAGAAAATTGTGTCCATGTCGGGAACGATCTTTCCATTTTTATGTAAGTACCATGCAGAAGTCATTTATTCTCTCTTCCGTTTCATCGTATATTGTACCGACATTTTGTAAAGAACAGAGTTTCTGTGTAACTTTAAAAATTTTCTTGGAACAAGTGTGGTGAATATCTACCTATCTATGTTCAACCAAGTTGCGATTGCGAATAGGATTTCACTAAAAAACTGACATTGAGGGTAGCAGTTTGTAGCAGAAAAGGATTACATATCAATGCAATACAATACCCTCTTGACACAGAACAATATCAATTACAAATATTACAGGATGCTTTGAACCACTTTTTAGATTGCTCCTTAAAGAAAGAAAGAAATTTTTTAATTGGAAAATGAAAACTATATATACCTTTTCTCAAATTTTCCATATCTGAGACGTACCAAATGCTATGTAACAAGAATTAATGAACAGGAATGTGTAACGAATGAGTAAGCTAATTTTTAGTGATTAGATTTTGATGTACAAACGAGCTCTACTAATCCTCTATCGAGGAATTATTGTTTACACTTATGTTACTTGCCTACAAACTGATGATATCGTCAAATAATGAGATCGAAATCGAACAGTGATTATTAGTTCACTACATGCCGCACTGTGATGTTCGTATCAATCGATTGGTTAAAACGAGTTCGATGGCCTTTCTCGCCGAGCGTTACTTTCAATAAGCAATCTTCTCTAATGTCTCTCTTAGCCAGCGCAAAGCGAGAAAGTCCTTTCGGAACGTAGACACGAACAAACGGACCTTGCCGATCTGTCGAGTAAAAATAAAGCGGAAACGGTCCGGTCTTGAGCCAAACGTGGTTCGTGGCTATCCTTTCGCGTGCCACGTCGCCATTCCGACCAACGAGTTCCTGGTGAATGTCGTGGAGTTTCCTTAGGAAGCCCCTTTTTTTCATCGCTTTGTCGAGGGAAGACCGCGCTGTCGTGTGATAGTTGTTTGCAGAGAAATTTGAAAATTTTTGCAGCAAGCGGGATTAATAATGTATGAATGACGAGGGAATTTGCAGAAGGTATTCATTTTCGGGGGGTTTTAACATTGTGGCGTGACGCTCCTTTTTGAAATGTTGGCAGTTTTTAGAATTAATATCCTGTTCATCGTCGTAGTCATTTTTGGACAACCTTGTGTAAGTGAATTCGTGATAAAATATTTAAAGTATCGTGCTATTTAGGAGTATGAAAATGGACTATAGTTGGATGAAATTTTATTCTTCAATTTTCAATACGGGGATTTATTTAATTATATTATCTACATTAACGATTTTATGTAGTAACATAAAACTTGTTTGCTAACTTCACAGAGATGGAAAATTTTTCGTGGATTCACGTCTCTCATGGATGCAAAAATCGGCTAGTTAGTGGTAATCCCTTACTTTCACGTAATGAGCAAGACGAAAATCTGGAAATAATTATTCGTTTGTAGGGAACATTTTGTTCTATAATATCAATGTTATACATAGTTCCACATTCTGACCAATTCGTTCATTAAAACATACTAAAACCACGGCTGTTGGTATTAATGGTAGTAGCATGAAATTCCAAACCCATTGTGGTTATACTGATATCTTTCTGATACTCGATATCATTCTCACACGTAACCCAATAATGATGTTCAATAGTATCTTAAAATCCTTCTGTAATAAATGTAAATTTTTTTTCTGTAAAAAATTTTCAGAATATGAAAAATTTAGTTTTTTTTTTAAATATCGTACAATTGACCCTATTTTTGCAACAGTTTTTAGTTTCTGGTTCTTCAAGGCCATTGTTTTCAAAATTTCTATCGTTTACGGTTTTAAATATTATACTTACGCAACGTTAAATATGCCGTCATATATCATGTGTCGGGAGAAGAGAGTCGTTTAATGCTACTGTCGGACGAATTTCCTCTAATTTATTACTCCGTTGACGTCCAACCTTTCGTACCGCGAGCTCACGGAAGCATCTACGCGTCTAAAATCTTCTTACATGCCGGTATCACGGGCTTCGCAGCACTCGCGAGAACTACGAACCCAACAAGTTCGCACCCCTCTGTTCTTATCATCGTGGGGTAGCAAGCTGGATGTTACGAGATCGTGCAGGCTTTCATTCAGGGAAGCAATTTCTATTTTTTTCCAATTTCTTCGAGAGATTAGAATTTGTGTTATTTTAGGAACTTGTATCGTGCATAGTTTATCGATACAAGTTCCTAAAGTAACAAGAGTTCTAATGCCCAAATCTATATCCGGAACATTCGATATTTTCATCCAAAATTAAAAGATTTCGGTAGAGGTCAGTTACTTAGAATAGTTATTCAGAGTTTCAACAATTACACGCGATTACGTTGAAAATGAGTCCTTGAACGATAAAATTTTTATAGAATTAACCGCGTGTCGATTGCTTACGCATATCTGTTGAGAATTGCGGATCCTAATTGCCGAAATAAAAGTAAAGGAACACTAAGGTCACACTTAGAATTCATATTCAAATAGTTTTAGATTTATTTAATAAATGATTTCCAGGATCTTCGTCGATATCGACATTTGCACGCGTCTCAGTACTCTCTTTGTCTCACCATCTCCTATATCACACTGCCAATGGAACAGTTACATTCATCTGTTTTTTGAAATGCCGTGCACACACATACTTCCACACACTCATATTCACATACGTGTGTCACTACTTCGCGGCCAATCTAATCTAGCACGCAAAATTATACATATCTCAATAATATCATTGTTTGAGTACTGCCGATCTATGATACATTGTGACTCATGACGTGATAAAATAGAACCGGTTGGAACTGTGAAAGAGCCAGCAGCAAGTTGTCGAAGAAAGCGACAAAGGGAAAAGGAAGGCGAACGATCGAACGGAAGGATCGCACAGCGAACGAGAAATCTCACAAATTAAGCTTGAGCGGTACAAGAGACGAAGCTTCCGACCGATAGGATTGGCTGCAATCTTCGACAAGGCAATCCGGCGAACCCGTAAATTTCCTGGAACAGTGCGAACCGAGCCTAACAGACCCCGGCTGTCTCGATACCAGTTGGCCACAATTTCCCGACGACATGGAGATCTAATTCTAGAAATTTATTTGCCCGATAAACTGAAGGTGTTTTCAGGCGGATCCTCGAAACGTTCGTGATTCATTAGCCAACGGACGGTTTCCAATCCATGGACGTCGTTTGCAGAACATTTTCTTTCGAAAATACCCGGGTCACAGTTGCCAGCCACTTTCCGACGTGGTTGTTCCCGCGAATTATTGCACGCTGATTCGTATGGTAATTAGAGGAACAAAGTATCGCATAGAAACCGGTTATCGACCGTAATAAATTCCGAAAGTTCCCGAGACTTTAACGACACTTTTCGACTCCTTCTGGTTATTACATTCGATATTGGTCAGCAAAGCGATCGAACAGTCCTTCGATATTTTGACAAAGAGATCGGTTATAGCGATTCAATTCGATTAATATATTTCTCACTCATTGGAACACCTATTGCGAATCAATCAACAAATTTCGACGATGGAGCAATCGCACCAGGCACGAGGATCGTGTATTAAAAATTCCAATCGCATCTCTGCAATGGCATTGCTCGCATGGAATCCTCGCGATATCTCACGGTTTATCGCGCACATCGGTTGATCATCGCGCGGCATCGTATTAACTCGAACAACGACCAGACGAAACAAGGAATTCCGTGCTGTTCGGTATTGAGTACCAAGCAGCCAGCCACCGTGCTGGGAAAAAAACATGACGGAGAATAAATGAAGCAGCTATGAGATCAGTGGAATAAGAGCGAGAAAGAGGGGACAAGAACGGAGCAGAAAAACGGAAGTGAGACGAACGAAAAAGAGGCAGGAGGAATTTAATTTGGACGAATTCTTGGGCACTTATTACCCGAGGCGAGGGCTCGAGGCCCATGGAACGTCGCTAGGCGTCGTTCCGAACGTCTCTCGTCGGCACGATGGTACTCGCGGCAGTCACGTCGATTTCCTCCCGGTTGCAAACAGCGTTTTGGACGTTGAGCGTGTCGCAACGACTCGAATCGGACCGATCGCTCGGTTCCACGGCCCTTTCCGGGTAACAGCCGGCGCGTAACTGAGCTTATTTGAATTCCAGATTGGATTATCCGTTGGATTTGGATAAATGAGGGGATTCTATCAGTTAGCTATTCGTGCTGGCAGGGGATTAGGCGCATAGATGAGAATCGGTCGCGTTTCGAGTCAACCAACGAGGAAAAATTTTCCGCCGATCCTGGCGAAATTTTGTCGTGGTATACACTACCACGCTTTAACGTGTTCCACCGCCTTCATATTGAAATCGTGTAATAACGATGACTACCGTAACAGTCGCGTAGCAATTTGAACTTACGTCGCACGAGGGATCGAAGTTTAAATACTCGCTGGTTTTTCTTGGAAAGATTAAACTACACCGGCTCTTCCCGGTCCTTGGGGATGCACGGAATGATTCTCGAGCACTGCACGGCGGAGCAACTAACTTCCCGGGTACCTTTTCATCAAATTCCCCGTTGAAGCTTTCACTTTCTTCTTTTTTCCTTTTCTTTCTCTCTTCCTATCTTCTTTCCTTCCTTTTATTTAGTCGATTTTTGCTTTTCTCCGGTTTTGGCCCGGTTGCAAGCACGAGAGGCTGTCCAAGGGTTCGCGAAATTCCTGTTGCTTGCCAGCCGTGGCGTGTGATTCATCGCTGTAATCTGTTTTTTCTCCCTTTAGTCTAACGCGGATACGATTCGTTGTTGCAGCTTCCATCGCGAAGCAAAACGGCGACCTGGCCGACGACTCGAAGCACAAAGTAGACGGCATGGTCTTGGTGCAATATCCGGACAACTTGAATCTCCGTGATCTTTACTACTACATCCTGGCGCCTACCCTCTGCTACGAACTGAATTTCCCCAGAACACAAAGGATTCGGAAAAGGTAAATAGCGAGAGGTCGAATTTTTTTTTTTTTTATAAACCGTTTGATCAATACATTTTAGGAAATATTCGAACGTTTTAGTTTTCCGTGCACGGTGAAATTGTCGGAAAGATTTTTAAAACAAAGAGAAGAGAAACTCGAGGTATATTTTAGAACCTCTGGTATCATTGGATATTCTACGCCTGGAATATACGTTCTATAAAACATCCATCATAGAACAGCCCAATATTGCCTTTTTTCTCTCTTCGCATATTCTATTTTTGAAAATATAGATTTAGTTTTAAAAGAAGTAAAACCTGTTCCAGTATCCTGCTTTTAAGAAACTACTTTTTACTTAGTCATCTTAAATAATCGACATCGATCGCTCTGAAAAAGGTATGTTCGGTTAAGTTGTTAAAATCACTAAATTTTTTAACTGCAGTTTACGAGAAAATTGCGCAGCTGAAGTTGCTTTTCGTTCTAATCTCCGCAGCGTACACATTTTTCTACGTAAGAGTGGTAGATCTTGGCCAGGTTTGCACGGCACTTGCCGAAAAAGTTTCCCTTCTTCCTCGGTTTCGGTGGTGCACACTTCCTTTTGGAAGAGAGAAACGAAAGGGAAGAAGGCAAAGTTGGCGAGCGGAAATGTTCGCGAAATTAGATTTAAGTGGGCTATTGTTGGGAAAATAGAGAGAGGGTACGTTTGGATGGACTCGCCCGGAGGCAAGGTGATGTATTCCTTTTCGTGCTTCCGGGTTCGTACTTCCGATTGTATCCGGAATCCCGGAGATTTTCGTGGAACACTTTCCTCCGTCTGTACGGACGTATTTCGACGATGCATACAGCCGCCGCCGCTGCCGATTCGGTCGGATGGAATGCATCGGCGAAAGAGAAGTCTGTGGCTGGCCGACGTTTCTTGCCACCGGCAGTTGTTGGCCCACGAAAATCCCAGGGACGAATTGCGACGGGGAAAAGAAACGTCATATCGCGTGATTCCCTCTTGTCGAGTCATATTTTTGGATTTTCTCGGCGAGCGTGGCGAATTTTCGACGTACACGGAGTGTGCATGATAAGAGAAATGTAACCAACGTGGCTAATGTATTATTTGCAGAAAAGTCGTGACGTAGACTAAAAAGACGTGGCTGACTCTGTTTGACTAACGTACGTGGAAATGGGTCATGCTTTTACAGGACTAGAAACTCTCGGTACATTTTCTCCGAAGCGAAATAGTATATTTAAACAAGGGACAATATTTTTGTTTTACTACGTCCGCGTTGAATGAGTCTGTAATTACGTAATTCACGTTTTACTTATCTGTGCAGATTTCTAATTAAACGAATCTTGGAGGTGGTGGTCGGCTTGCAAGTAGTCATGTCGCTGTTCCAGCAATGGATGATCCCGTGTGTGAAGAATTCGCTAGTCCCATTCAGCGTAAGTGTTTCATTTAGTCTTTCATATAGCCCGTTAAATCCTCTGTACAACGGCGCGATGGAAAAATCTCATTACGCTTGGAGAAACGGCCCTCTAGAACATCGTACATCATAGAAAACAATTTTCCATTTTCCTTATCCGTTTTACTTTCGTGCTCGTTGAACCAGTACCGCGGTACTAGTATCGCGGCGCTATGCATCACGCGTTTATCCCTTTTATTCTTTACTCGAAATAAATAATAATCTATCGTTCGATATATCGACGTGTATCGCGAACGTTATTAAGGTGGCTAATTATTTATACGAACGGTCGTAAATAAGATCTAGGAGACTAGCCATTGGAAGCAAAATGGCTCCTAAGATAGTGAGAGTGGATGAACAGAAGTGTAATTTGGTTTCAGCAAATAGGTACGATCAATCTTTCTTGTAATTCCCAGACTGCTAGCTACGATACGCACAAATATATGGTCGACCGACCCCAACCTGTTCTATCCAGCCTCTCGCACGCCCGTTCCTCACAGAAAATCCCCATGCACCCCTGGGTAATGACATGTTTCTACGCACACCGCACAATAATGGCCCTGACGACCCATCAGTTTTTATCTCGTCAGGCTGTTAAGCGGCCTCTTCGCTCCTCTTTTTCCAGTTATATTTGACATGCTGGATCATTTGTTAGGAAACATGGTCGTGAGGCCCGGCTCTCGCAAAAATCTACCAAGAATTGTACGTGTATCTCGCCACAGTCGACTGTAATCAGGCTGAAGCTGTAAATATGGCGGATAAGCTAGTTGGACAATTTGGACGGAATGCAACTTGGAGAATACGATTGTATCTTGTATTATTGGCGATACAATGGCGCAGGAAAATAACGTCCGTCCAGGGAGAATGATAAAGTTAAATGAACAACGACATTGATGGGCAATTCTGTTTGATAATTCAGTCGATCTGTGTAATGGTGTGGTGTATTTTCGGTGTAAATTTCGTCGATGGCAGGGACAAGAACGGAACTTGAGATCGTGAGCTGGCAATTAAACTCGTTCATTCTCGTCGATTGGTCGATTTACTCGTTGCCTCGTTATTCGTTATCGAATCGCGGCGTATCTCGGCGTATCTGTTATTTACAGCCGCCAAATCGCAACGTTGCGTTGTCAAAAAGTCGAAAGAGAAGAGTTACGTCGCTTTCATATGGCACGGTAAACCGCGGGCGTGTTAACTCGAAAAGGGGTGAGAGACTGTAATGTCGCAAAATTATTTTTCACCTAGCATTGGTCCGACACGAAACAGCCACCACGATAAAGACAACGGCGATCTCGTGCGCGTAATGAGTCGACGGCAATTTTGCCAGCACGTGAAATTAGCGTTGCGCGAGCAGCAATTGCCGTGGAAACAATACGAAGAACCGGCAAACAACGTACTGACGTTGCCACCATTTTTCACTAATTTTTTTCCTCCTTTACCTTTTTGCTTCATTTTAATTTGTTCGTCCCTTCTTTTCATCTTTTATTCCTTTCTACCCTTTTTCACCGCGTAACTCTTTACCTTTGGTTAACGGTTAAATCGCAGACGTTCCAGTTCGTTTCACGGTTAGTGAAGTACCGGGGGTGATCAACAATTTGACGTTTATTCGTTTAATTCTGTGACATTAATTGAAAAAATTCAACCAGGCTGCGGTTTTGATTGTTCGTTAACGAGGAGATGAATAGCTCCGCTGCCAGTGTGCATCGGTGGCAGAAATTTCCCGCGCGTGTTCGCCCAGTTCGTGGATTTAAATGGATCCTTTTACGCGGACAGTTTTAACCACGGCTGATCCGCGCCGGACATCCGCGGTTTACCAGCTATATCCATAGATGGCCGTATAATGTAGTCGGCTGTTACCAATGCGCTACCATCCTAAAACCATCCATTGGAAATTTTGGTGATTTCTTTGTTTCGAATGGTTCGTCACGTGTATGCACATTTTTCTTTCCCGCGAGAAAGATCAAGGGTTTCACGCAAATGGAATTGATAACAGGAATTAGTAGATACGTTCGTGTATGGTCAGATGTTAAAATTTAGAATATCACAAACACAGTTATTCCAGAGTTGTTCTTAATGTTTCTCCGTACCGCTTAACGACGCTTTTCACTGTACACTTCATTGACAACCACCACACTCCACTTTTATTACCTTCTTCTCTGTAGAATGTTATAAAACTATTCAAGAAGTTTCCAGCTACTCGTATTTTCTTTCATAATTAATGGTACTGGCTAAGAGAAGCGTATTCACGATGTCGTACATTTTTTATGAGTTCCAAAATTGAAATATTATCATAGTGGAAGGTACTTAGGGAAACACTTTTCGGAAAATCTAATATGCTACTTCTCGAGAGTAAAAAACTGAAACTTCCGGTTAATATACTCTTTTATTCGCTTTGTCTGCGCAACAAAAGATAATATCCAGATAATGAGTAGCCAGTCCAGTCTCGCGGCAGCTTTGGAGGGTGCGCGGGGCGTGTCGTCGCGAAGTAAAAACGGAAGGCGAAGAGAGACGGGGCGTAATTACAATGTGATGAGCAGCGGGCGCAGTTATCAATTCCCGTGGATAGCCGCGATTCATTGGCGCCCGCTCGCAGAGGAAAGCAATATCCACGAAATCGATTTCTTCTCGATGCCCCTCGGTGTCAGGCTTCACGCGACAGTGATAGACCATCGCGAAGTAGGTCGAAAGACGGAGACATTTCCCCCTGCCAGCTGGCCGGCAACGATCAACGACGTGACTGTCGTCTCTGCCATCGTGATTCGCAATTATCGAATCCAATTTGTCGGCTAGAAAGGCAGTCGAGGTGGCCATACTGAACGAGAAAGGGAGAGAAAATGTTGAAAAAGGGTGGGGACCGGCGTTGCGATCGAAGATAGAGAAAATGACGAGGCGGACGACGTGGAAATGGATAGAGAAAGAGCTTGCCACCCCGGAATTAACTCTCGTGCACCTTGCACGGTAATTACTTGAGTTCGATCGATGTCGTCAGTTTCAAGATTCCTTTATAGGCTAGGGGAAAAACGAGACCGAGAACAATATCTCTGGTTAGTTCTATTGTTACGTCAAGATTTAACCGTTTCTATTTCTATTTCTATTTCTTCGACACCATCTTCTTTACCGTAGGATTTGGAATCTTACAGTTATAGGGAATCTCGAACAATTTACCAGAAGCAATTTGTCCTCGATTGAAAATCGTGTACCGATGGAGCTCGGCTTGTTCGGGATCGACGCGGAATCTCTTCTTGAACGCCGGTGCTTACGTCGATCTACTGGATTCGATGCTATGGAAACGTTTAATAATCCGTCGGAGAATAGGTGAGCAGGAAGAGAACTGCTCGAAAAGCACCGGCGGGACAAGGAACTAGCGGGAACTATCTAATCAGCGGTACCCAAGTTTTGACTGGCTGTCTTGGCCTAAGGGCGACTCCTGTTGTTACCAAGTTCTGTGTTCCAAGTGTCCGGTTCTAGTTGTTTAAGGGCATGCTACCGTTTAAGGCTTGCTCAGTATTCGAGGAAAACGAAAACATTATGCGTCACTAGAGTTGGAATATTCTCGAAGTTTACTCGAAATTATGTCGAGAGTATTGTCGAATTTATCATTGTTTATAAACATAGATCTCATATCGTCGTTGCATTTGAGAATATTTTTATCTGAAAGGAAATTGGAGTTTTCTTTTTAATATTACTATGTATATCACTCCAGTATATTTTATTGTACCATATTCTCAATACTATATATGTATATATATATACCACGTTTTCGTAGTAACTGAAATTTCTCGAGCAGTTCTGTCGAGTCACACTTTCTAAGAAATAGTCTGCACGCTTCTACTTTTCTTACATTGATCCCATCCATCTTGGGATCTTTTTGTTCTGATCGTTCCCCAGATCTATATATATGCTTCAACTATAAGTTACAATAAAAAATTGCCCGTTTTCTCTTTTGGTTTCAAACTCCAATAAAATGATCTGCTATTACAATTGCAATTGTTAATTGCACATGATTACGTATACAATTTGCATGCAACTTCGCTATTGATACATTTACATTTCCCACTTTTTAATTACAAGAAATTTCATTAAAGCGTGTTCTTTTTAATTAACAGTGTACATTAATTTACTTCTCCTTTAGTAGCTTCGTTGACGAGCCACTGAACGTAGAGTGCAAAACAGTATCGAAACCGAAGTTAAAGTCACCCTACCTCAACTATCAGGAACATCATCGAACTTAGTATTACTAATTAACACGAGCACAACTGTCAAACGAACTTCTGTTAACAAACTTCTCGATCATTCAGGTATTAATGGCTATTTATCCGTATCTAGTGAGAATAATATTATTAATTACACCTGGATAGAATCACGTGTCTGTTATAGACGAAAGATCGCACGTACATACGTCGTAACTTAATCTTAATCAGACATAGCCACTGTTTGGTTCTCTATATGGTTAACATAGCCGGATAATTAATTATTTGAACGTTTACAGGTTGACAAGGATAATTTTTTCTAAAGGATTTCACTCAGTAACTTCGCGCCACCGGGCTACCAACTTATCAATCTCAAACGTCATTAGGGTTCGTGTTGCGCCATAGAGGTGATTCATGTCATTGGCGATTAAAATCATCTGCGGGTCACGCGAGTCATCGATGTCGTATAATTTGTACTCTAGGTATAATTTGTACTAAAGGTAAATAGGAGTTTCACCGTGTGAAACGGTATTCTGCAAGGTGATAAGATTTTTCAGTCTGACGCGCATACATAACATTGATGGTTAATAGCGCTACCAGCAAGAGGCCATTCATCTTATAGGTCATTGAATATTTTCTGTTTGCCGTGACGTGTAAATAGCCGGTTGTACGTTTCGCCTATCTTTCACGGCGCACATCCCTGCACACGAATGACTTCACACTCTAGAGCAACGGTGACGGCGTGGTCGCATCGAACGTCACCTTATCGGCTCGACGACGTGCTACTGCTTAA